GCACGGGTTTCTTCCGCTGTAGAACTACCCCCGTGACACTTTGACACTCAAGATCGCAACTTTCTAAATTTCTCCTTCCTATGGTGGCAAAGATTGCTTTGAAGTGATCCACAAAAACCTTGATAATTTCCTCCTCTCTGGTAACAATTTGTCCTTCAACCTCAATACTGGAGATCAAGTTCTTCCTTCTTCCATTTGCTAAGGAGTGGAAAATTTTGGTATTGCCATCCCCTTCTATAAGCCACTTGCATCTCTATTTTTGTCTCTAGGAAATTTCTTCTTTTCTAAGAACCCCCTTTAACTCCACATTTAATCTCTACCTTTCTAATCTCTCCCCCACTATGCACACTCTCCGAGCCTCCTTAAGATCAATCCCCTCCATTCTTTTTTTCAAATATGTCCATTACCTCCTCTAATCTTCCAAATTCCTGTTTATTCCACTCTTTGATTATTTCTTCAAAAATTTCAACTTTTTGGTGAACCTCACCCCCTTATTATCAATATTGATCCCACTATCCATCCACCAACCCTTAATTTTTTTTCAAGAAATTTTGGGTCCTCTAACCACATATTTTCAAATATAAAAGGGGTGGGGGCCCTTGATAATACTCCTCAAAAAGACAAAGGGGGCAATGGTCTAGAGTCACTCTAAGAACTGCTTTCAAGACTAAATTACCCCAAAGATCCTCCCAATCAACTAAGTAAAGGAACCTATCCAGTTTAGAACAAACTAGAACCTCAGAACCACACACCAAGTAAAGATAGCTTGCAACAGTGGAGGTTCCTTCAGTTCCAAAGACTCCACCAAAGCATTAAAGTTCCTCATACTTGTTGTTACGCCTTGATTAGGATTGTTAGTTCACTTGAGTATCTCATAACATTGATATCACCACCCACACACCAAGGACCCTCATAAAGACCTCTAATTCCTCCCAAAATAGGCTTCTATCTCTATAAGAGTTAGGACCATACACATTTGTCAAAATCCAAACTCTACCATCATTGTCCTTTTTGAACTTCACTGAGACTAAGAATTGCCCAATTAATTCCTCCTAGCACATCGATTCTACATTTTTTCATATTGTAAGTATCCCTCCAAAAACGCACCAGGATGGGGCAAAAGACCAACTCCAGCCTCTACAACCCCATAATTCCTCATCCATCTTCTGTCCACCTCTGAAATTTTCATTTCTTGCAACATTACTATACTTGGTTTCTCTTTCCTCAAAACATTCCTAATTAACTTCCTCTTTTTAGCACTCTCTAGAATCTAGACCTCACAAATTCCAGCAAATTATGTTCATTAAAAAGGTATACAGGACCCTACCACTTCTTTACCCTCTTAGTGCCCCCTTCCTCTTCCTTTTCACATCCTTAACGTAGGAAACACCACTAGCTAATCTTTCTACCTCACTCCTCTTTCTCCTGCCTTTTTTTCTCTCTACCCCCTTCATTCCTTGCATAGACTCTCAATTTACAAGTCCTTCATTCGATTCTTTTGTTCTCTTCTTTTGAGAGAAGCTAGTACCAACTCTTCCACTTGCTTGGTTCACCATATCATGTTCATCTTTAGTTTTCTTTTCAGTCCAAATCCATTATCACCAAATTTGTTAAGTTTTCAAACACCAAATCCATTATCACCTTCTCCTCTTCTGCCACTAATTCTTCCCTTTCCCCCTTTTCAAAGGCACTCAGGTCACTGTCTACATCTGGAGGATGGATTATGACTAGATCTGCAAAGCAAGCAAGAAGTGGGGGAAACCGGGTTAGTATAATAACAAGACAAAGGGGCAATTGTAAGAGAAGAAACTCACTATATCTAGGCGACAAATCTTTCCCAGAGACACTCTGGTGCGCCATGTGCTTCTGCTTGATTTGTTTCTATGGTCCCTTCTCCATTTAGTTCGTCTGAGTTCTCACCAAAATTCATGGTACATTCGTCCACCTCCCCTTCCTTCAACTCAAGAATTTCCGTAGCCATAGTTTCTTCAAATAGAAGCCCAGTACCCATCTGTTCAAATTCCAAATGTTTGCATCCTTTTGTAGTAAAGATGCTACCAATGCTCGAAGGTTGTTCCACATCTTCGTCTTCCAAAACTCTGAGGTCCTCCCACTCCATTTCTTCCTCTGACTCTGCTTCGTTTGGATGTTCTCTGTTGTGGCACGAATTGGGCTTCTCTAGGGTAGTAGAGTTATCCACTTGGCACCATACCCATACCAAGTCCTTAGTTTTCCCTTTCAAACCCTTCTTAACTATCAACAATGGTTGTAGAACGTCCGGATTTTTTCCTTCTTTCCTTTGGGTCTTTTCTTCACCAAGAACCTTCTTGGACTAGAGAGAGTCGAAGGGGATGATGATAGATGGGGATTATCATCCCCCAATGATTCGTTATAAAAGGTCCGCATCATTTTTAAAGAGTCACATAACTCTTTTGAAACCAAACTGGCTCCAAAGTTAACCCAGTCTAGTTCAGTAGAATTTTCAACCAAGCCTTTCAACTTCCTTTTTTCAATTGAATTTTGACCACTCAAAGAGGGAATAGATTTTTAGATCTCCACGTAAGAGCCCTTAGGCACCATTGGATGAGATTCAAAATTATTCAAAAAACTTGCCTTATATGAAAATCAGTCCACTGATCCATTTGGTTCCGCCTTTTCATTTTCCAAAATATTCTCCTCCATCCCAAGCATTCCTTGCTCCAGCCAAAGATTTCCAAGTGGTACTCTACTAGCCAGGTCACCATTGGCTTCGGCTATCGAAGCCAACCAAACTCTTCTCCACCTCTCACCTGTGAAGTCAATTGAGCATGGTATACGCTCTAGTGGGTTCCAAAAATCTTCATCATTGTTACATGAAGGTCCTGCAAGTAATAGGCCTCCAGTACTCCTCCCCAAATCCCTGCAATTTTTTTGAAGATGTTTTCCTGCCACAGGTTGAATGGCAGCCCCAAGATCTTGACAGTTATCGCTCTTTCTGGAAACTCCTTTTCATTACATGAAGGTGTCCAGTTCTCTAGAGCAATCAGGCCTAGTTTTGATTCAAAGTTCACAATTTCAGCTTGGATTTCCACCAAATCCAGAACTGCCTTTCTTTCATCAAAGGGGAAAAGCTTCAGTCTTTCCTTTAAATGAAGCTTCTCCATAATTATCTCCAGGACTTCATTCCAATCAGTTATTCTCTGCTTTATTGAGACTATCTTCTTCTTTCCACAATTGGTTGTCTTGCCTCTCGAGATCATTTTAGGTGCCGCTAAAGTGGAGACAATCAGAACATCTTCTTTCCCCTCACTAAACTTTTCCTCTCATGCTTTTATTTGTTCTTCCTTGGAATTGCTCTCAGGGCATTCTGGTATCTTTGGTTCCATTTGTCTTACCAGAAAATATTCTAACATTTTAGGCATCAGCATCCAACCATGTTTCTCCTTACCTTCTGGAATGCATTCAACTGTTTCCTTCCTCCTCCAAAGCTTTCTGTAAGTGTGATGAACCAGCCATTTTTGTTACTTCTTTTCAGCTTCAAACTTCTTTCCTTCTCTCACAATTTGTTCCTCCATCCCTGAGTTTTCACTGTAAGCATTGCTCCATCCATGAATCCCTTGAGCTAACCTGCTGCTTCCAATCCCAATAAAACTGTTGCCCTGCTGTCCTCTCTGATTTTCAGGACTGTAGCTCCTCTACTTCTTGATTCCTCCAGTAGAAATCTCTTCTTCTCCAGCTTCAGCTCTTTCTTCCACCATGCCATTTATACGAAGCAATCCATCTCTTCCTGTTGCCATGATTGAGTAATGTAATAGCTGAGTTCATTCAAGAGGATAGAGGAGTAGGTCCAATAGATGACCAAGGTTTAAAATGTAGGTGTCTGTGGAAATGTTGGTCATACAAATAGAGGAAACATGTCAGAAATGTCGGAAATATTGTAAAAATTATAGACATGGAGGAAGAATTGTAAAATATGCAAAAATATAGAATGATGTCTTATGAAATGGTAAAGAAGCATAGGCATGTCTTTTTAAATTATTATCTTGTTCCAAATATTAAACAAAGCTAAGAAACTATGGTTGTAGACAAAATAATACATTGTTAAGTTGTCTTATAAACCTCAAGAGTCAAAACAACATGATGGAATGAATGAGTTCAAGCAAATAGATCAACCAAATAATTTATTACACAAACAAAAATTAATATTTAACTTCATGAAAAGAATATCAAGCTAGCTCAAAGTGACAATCAAGTCCATTAGGAAGGCAATAACATTGCTACTCCACATTATTTACAATATTACCAACTTATGTTATAATATTATTTCTTGTAGTCCACATAGTGTTGGTGCTGTCAATTCCAGTAAAATTTCATGTCAATCACCATAGATATGGAAATATGTTGTGGAAATATTAGGAAATTTATGGACATTTTAAACCATGTAGATGACAAAAAAGGAGGGAAGTCAATTAATGGTTTAAAATGTCACCAATTTCCCTAATATTTCCATGACATATTTCCATTTCCATTAGCAACATGAAATTTTACCAAAATCGACATATTCCTCAGTGAACACTACCAGCACTATATGGAGTGTAAGAGATAGTTTATAACATAACTTGGTGATAATATTGTAGATATGTGGACTAACAATGTTACACCTAACTTACATGATTACCATTTTGAGCTAGATAATATTCATTTCGAGCATGAAGTTAAATATTAGTTTTTCTTTATGTAATAGATTATTTGGTTGATCTATTACAACCATTTACATTTTCTGTGAGTTTAAGTTTTGCTTTAACTCATTCTATCATGAAGCTCTAAATCTTAAGGTTTACAGGGCAACTTCTACATGTTTTTTTTGCCTATAACCTTAGTTTCTTAGCTTTGTTTAGTGATTTGGAACAAGATAATAATGTAAAAGGGTGTGGCTATGCTTCTTTTATCATTTCATAAAATATCATTCTGTATTTTGCATATTCACAATGTTTTCACCATGTCTATAATTTTTACAATATTTTTTTTATGAATAAATATAGTTTTATTACTTCAATAGATAATAGAGATCTCGTACAACAGCCCGTGGAGAGGAGCGAGCTGCAGCCTCTCTCAACTGATTACAAAGAAACTTAAAAGGAAAAGACAAACATTACAGCTGAGCCCAAAACAAGACTTCCCTATTTGCCCCTTGCTTAGCTAAGCCATCAGCCAAAGCATTTGCTGATCTCCCCACCTATTGTGTACTAGCAGGCATATTCCTTGTCAGCCACTTAAATTTTTGACTTCATTTCTGTAGCACCATATAGTTTCCTCAGGGTTCTGCAACCACCCCACCAGCACCATATAATTTTTACAATATTTCCATACGATATTTCCGACATTTCCGCCATGTTTCTTATATTTGGACGACCAACATTTCCACGGACATCAACATTTTAAACCTTTAAGTCAAACACCAGTGAGGAGTAACTTGGTGCAAGTATAAAGCTCCAAAATATTAAGGGCTGACTAAAGAAAATGTGGGCTGATGTGGTAAGAAGTTATAAGGAGTCAACAATTAACAAAAAGCATGGTTCTTGATAGAGCAGAAAGGCAAGAGAGGATTTATGCACTCAACCCAAAGTAGTTACGATTAAGGCTAAGTCGAGTTTAGTTTATAAATTATAACTAACATTTTATTTCAAATTGACCCAAGATTTCAAATTTGAACTCAATAACAAGCGACAGATAGGAGAAATCATTAAATAAAACCTGAAAAAACCATCGCATGGACTTGTACTTACAATGTCAAGGGAAGACATTCCCTCCAAGCTGCAAATAGCACGGACGCCTAGTTCCAGTAACAGTGGGAATGCCCCAAGAAATTGGAAGGCCTCCACACAACCGGCATCAAGATATAGAATGGCATCTTCAATGTGCTCTGATATCTAATCAAGATCAAAAGGAAAGATACCTTAGACACAAAATAACAACTGAAATAGTCAAAGCCAAGGTAAAGCATTCATGGAACACCAAAGTAACTAGTAACCAAGTAATTCACTTGAAAAAAATCTATTAAATCTAAGGCATTTAAATTATTCACTTATTTTGAGAAGTGAAACAAAAGAAACAATACCATGTCCAACAAATAATAAAGAATTGATCCTTTAAATAAATTCACAAGCCCTCCGATTTCAGGAAAAAAAAAATCTTACTTGATGAATGGAATCCAAACAAGACCTGATAACATCAACTAAAGCCATATTTTAGCCTTGCTAACCTGCAAATCATCCACGAAAGTTAGTAAATCTTTTTTTTACTTGATGAATACGAAAGTTAGTAAATCTACCAAGATCTTTGATAAATCTATTACATGGAACCAGAACCTGACCCAATATTCACATGGTTGACAAAACAACCATGAAAAGATCAAATATAAAAGCCTTCCATCAGTTTTCTCTTGATACATTTTCTCAATGATTTAAGAGGAGAAAATCAGAAACCCCTACCTATGAGGTTCTCTGGTCCTCACAAGCTCTCTTTCATGTATAGATGCTCTTAGAATTTTGATTCAATGAGGGGCTTTTGAACTCCGGTCAACATGATGTTCTGCTACACATTATACACTTGCAGCTCAACAACTTAAAACTGTCTATAGTTCTGTTCATAATAGAAGTGATTCTAAAGCATTATTATTATGATCCATCCATCAAGCATAAAGATAACCAATTCTGTCTGCTTGTTTGAAATGCTTTTTTTCTCGTTTTAATTCCTCAGACCCTAACACATCTCATCATCTGTCCCCATCTCTATGCACGAGCTAAAGTGCTTCAACAAGCTATAAGTGGATATCGGCCTGTAAATTGGACCAGTCACCCAATATTTCTTCCTAGAAAGAGCAAGAGGACACTAGTAGGGGTGAGCATGGGCCAGTTCGGTACGGTTCCATGGCAGAACCCGGAACCTACCCTGTGAAGGTCGGTTCCAGGGCCGATTCTAGCCTTGGTGGTTCCAGGGTCAGTTCTAGGGTCTACCCATGGAACCTGTACTTTCTTTACTCTCCCCCTTCACAAAAGAAAAACATGTTCTTTAAAAACTTGAATTTAATAAATATAATCTATAGTTTCAAGCTTATATTAAATTTAAATTTTGTAAATATTACCTTTTACACTATAAATTGTACACATTCAAAAAATATTCTCGGGTTCAAATCTTCACTACTTATTGTAAAAAACAAAAAATAAATAAAAAAAAAAATCTTCACTACTTATTGTACACATTCAATAAATTGTACACACATTCAAAAAATGAAGCATTATTGGGAAAGTGGCTATGGAGATGGCCTATGGAAAGAGAAAGTTCGTGGCACAGGGTGGGGCTTAGCATTCATGGTTGTTCTATCTCTGGTTGGGATGCAGAGGTATCTCATCGGGCTACCCAAACAATTCCATGGAAGGCAATACATGGCGTCCTCCCCAACTTCCTTCAATTTGTAAGGTATGATACTTGCTCCAAAAATTTGGTTCTTTTTTGGGAAGAAACTTGGATGGGTAATCAACCTCTAACAGACCTATTTCCTTCTTTGTATGCCCTTTCCCTTCATAAAAAGAAGGTTATCTCTATCGTTTCCCCCTCTAGTTTTACCTTTATCCTGGAATTGGGACTTTTCTTTTCGTAGAGGCTTAAGGGAGGAGGAGCTTGCTTGTGTTACTGAACTTCTATCCATTCTAGAGAGTGTTTGCTTGGACCCCTCTTCACCTGATAAAAGGGTGTGGACTCCTATCCCAAAAGATTCTTTCACTTGTGCATCCTTCTTCAAATCCATGTGTTTGAATACTCCTTTTGAGCCTTTTCCAGTGAAAGAAGTTTGGGCAAAACTTGTACCCCCCAAAATTGTTGTTTTTTGCTGGAAAGTGTACATTGGTAAGATTAATACTTTGGAGAACTTACAAAGGAAAAAGCCTTTTATTTGCTTATCCCCAAATCGGTGTGTATTGTGCAATTCTCATAGTGAGGACTGTTACCACTTACTAGCTTCTTGTTCCTTTGTTGTAGCTCTTTGGGACCGGATGTTTGTTTTGTTTGGATGTAGGTGGAATCAACCAGCAGAGGTAAAATCATTATTCTCACCAACTACCTTTGCTTGCCTAACAAAGGCTTTTTCCTTTGTTAAACACCCATTGGGTGTTTCAGAGCAACCACCCAATGGACAATTTGGAAACAAAGAAACACTAGAATTTTCCAAGATAAAGAGAGGTCATTTGTAGAAGTGAAGGAATGTATCTTAACCAGGGCTATCCATTGGCTGAAATCCTTGGCCTCTTTCTCTTTTTCATTTGATGACATCTGAAGGAACTGGGCCACAGTTGCACACTCTTCGATTAGAAAAACCAGAGCCACTATAATTTGGGTAACTCGCCCAGAAGGATTTTTTGAACTAAATTTTGACGGAAGCAACCAAGGTAATCCAAGACCGCCTAGCATTGGAGGAGTATTGAGGAATGAGAATGGCAACATCATATCCTTATTCTCAAGCCCAATAGGGATAGGGGACTCTACAAGAGCTGAGATAAGTACAAGGAATTCAGATTGCTAATCAACTAGGATTGGAGAACCTATTGATTGAAGGGGACTCTAAAGTGATTGTGGGTTGGCTGTCAAATCCAAACTCAGTTGTTTGGAGTTATAGGGATCTCATCAAAAAAGTTAAATGTTTAACAAGGCACATAACATGTAGATATCAGTGGGTGGGTAGGGAGGCAAATGCCTTGGCTNTATGCACATAACATGGCTGTCAAATCCAGACTCAGTTGTTAGGAGTTATAGGGATCTCATCAAAAAAGTTAAATGTTTAACAAGGCACATAACATGTACATATCAGTGGGTGGGTAGGGAGGCAAATGCCTTGGCTGATCATCTTGCTAAACAGGGGTCTACTAGGGACCATTTATTCTGGGCAGCATTGTAATTTTATTTCTGATCTCTTGTAATGCTTAGGGGAGGCTGCATCTTGTGCCTCTCCAAGGGGTCTTGTAAAATCTTATTTCTCTTGTTTAATAAAATCATTTACAATTATCAAAATAAATAAATTACTTATTGTACACATTCAAAAAATATTTCCTTTGTAACCATGAATGCTTGGGTTCAAATCTTCTCATCCCAAAAAATATTCTGGGCTTTATTTCAAGGCAAGTTTGGTTCTCCAACAAGGCTGGTTCATTGGGTAGGGTAAACCCCTAGACCCTGGAACCAGCCTGGGTGGAGGTTGGTTCCAAGAATTTGGAACCAGAACCTACCCTGTAACAGATTGGGTAGGGTCGGTTCCATCCGGTTCCGAGTAGAACCTACCCATTTGCTCACCCCTACACACTAGTGGTTGTTGGACCCATGCCTTTGAGTTGGATTGTCAAGGAATTAGATGAAGGCTTGCCAGAGTTGAATGAAGGCAAGATCTACACAGACTAGGACATTCTTTAGTCGAGGTAGATGCTTTGGGCTGAGATTGACCATCTTTGTGACTGAATGACAATGAATGAGAGAGGAAAGGAAATAGAAAAGAGAAGACTAGGGGTTTGGGATGGTGGTAAACCCGTGATGAAGCTTCATGAGCTTGATCTGTTAAGATCAGTATATGAATTAAAGAAGAGTCATGGTAGGAAATTGGAATTTTAAAAAATAAAACAAAATTCATGAAGTACTCTGACATGAGCTTTTTCTTTCATTGTGATTTCAAAGAAAATAGGCCCACACATGGTTGAAAAATATTATTTTCTTAAATGGATAGATTGGGAGCTAAGCAACTTCTTATAAGTTGGCCTATCAAGAGGAGATCAAATGGCATCAAAGAGAAAGAACTCTTTAAGTTTTCACTTGTCAGTTCACCTTTATTAATCTTAATAAAATACTTTATTAATCGTCAAAAAAAAATTTTGTAAGGTTGCTAATGCCAGGAGAAGGGAGAACTCTATTCTCAAACTGTAAGTGAATGGCCAAATGTTGGATGATGAAAATTCTATCAAGGATGCCATAGTGGGGTACCATGAAGGGCTAGGCCAAGGTTGGATGGGATCCTAATGGATCTATCACCTTCGGAACCCAATGATGATGGAGCTGGTTCGAAGGATCTCACCCTCCTGAAATGGATGAGAGGGAAGGGAAGAGAGAGAAAAATAGAGAGGAGAAAAGGAAGAGAAAAGAGGTAGAGAAGATGTTAATAGGGTTTTTCCATATGTTCCCTTATGCAGCTTATTACAGATATTTATAATGCATGGCAAGAGGACAACAACCTCTAACAAACTCTGATCAGCCCTCATGACGTGGACGACATGTGTAGACAAACCTCAAAGGTGGTGTCGTGCACATGATCCACGGAATGCTCTGAGTTGGGGCTTGAGCATGATGGGCCTAGGCCGTGTTGTCTGGGCTTCCTTCTATGTCGGACTGTTACGAACCCGGTTAGGGACGTAATGTGAGTTTCGTCTGCTTCAAGGGAGACAAGAGACGTCAAATAAAATCCAAACGGTTCTAGGTAAAAGTTCTTCAATTGATAAGCTTTCAAAGAGCAAAAGAAGTATAAATACAGACTCGTACAACTACCCATAACCCATTACCTTACGTGACTAACCATGACACTCTCCCACTACTAACTGACCCCAAAAATAAGGAACAAGTTACTAACAAATTTCACAGCTGGGCCACGTGGCTCTCCACTATTTGCATAGCCCAACAAGTAACAGAAAAAAACACACTACTTAATTCTAGTAATTTCCAAGCTTCAACGAAACAAACGCAGCCTCATAATGCATGTAACTCCTCCATGTTCTTCCCACAGTTGTGGTTGAATCCAATCAGCTGTTTTTGTAAATAACTTCAACTGGGGTCCTCGATCCATGCTTGTAGATCTCTTATGTATCCCAGCAGCCGTGCTAGAGTCCTCTACTTGGTTTCC